TAGATGTCTTCTAAAATGCACTAGAATTCGCTGAATGGTGGGGTTTGATGGGGTGTTTTACTCGCAGCTTTGGCTATGTTATGCTGGCCGACGCGGAAGGTTGACTAAGGCGAGCGCCGCAGATGACGCTCAAAAGAAAAGGGGACTATGTTATAGTTTGATGGTTTGTTTAGCATCTTGTTATAAAATTTTGTGGGCACTTAAGGCTTGGCCCTTACACTACTGCTAGGGGGTGGAAAGGGGATGGTCTCAGCCCTTCTGTACGTCGACAGTGCATATTCTGCTTGGTATTATGACTTCTTTCTTCTTCATGAAAGACCAGAGGTGCTACACTATATCACTCATTTTTATTCTAAAGCCGTTTCAAACTTCGCACAATGGCACCAATCTCATTTGCGGTTGTTTTGTTTTCTCCTAATTATTTCTTTAAAATTGAAGTAAAATATTTTATACCTATTCGCTTTGTCACTGAGAGCGCCAAATCTGTAACCTTCATGAGATTCTCATTATTTTTTGCACTGGCGAGACATACACCTCTTTATCTAGATTGTCACCCCACTAATCTACAGTCAACCCAGCCTCACACGTTTTTTCACTTCAGCCTGACGCCAATTATGCCCTTAATTCCGAAGCTAAGATTATTTATTACAAGGCAGTCTAACAGCTGCAATCTAAACGTACTTTACGTTTACCTTAGTCTATATGAAATTTTCATTTAAGCACTTCAGAGGCATATCAAACCTTCAGGAGTAGCCTTCACTCCCCTGCCGCCTCTTTGCTCTTTCTGGAGGAATAAACGCGGACGAAGCGTGGCCGTTGCGATGCGTCGAGCTGTAAATAGGTAAATACAGGAGGAAATCACTTGTTTTTCATAAAAACTACACATGTTTGTTCTCAGTAATGTAAAAAATTTGGAGAAGATCCCAAAGGGATAAAGGTGGTACCACAATTTTTAGTATTTCGCCGGATTAATTTCTGGCAGTAAAAGCTCACCGTTTTCCTTAAGCATGAATAAGTAATGCGTTTCCCAACTTAGCTTGAGGGCGGTGCTTATGAAAGAGGGATGTAAGCTCTGTAGTTTAATTCTCACCGTCATCGACAGCAAATCTCACCCAACCACCCGGCATTCGCATCTGTCTACCACCTTAAGTGAAGTACTGGAGAGCTGTTTGTCGAGCTATTTGCTCATACCGTGGGAAGGTTTTAATGCCTCTTTGAACTATTACTTATTAACACCCACTCGTCGTTTGGAGAATAAACACTAAAATATCATGTGCTTTTTGGCATTTTAACTTTGACGCAAATAAGCCAAAGGTATTGCATCAAACATTCCCATTTATAAGATTGCGGTGACATGATATTTTGTTTGTTTCTAGCTACACGAGCATTTTAGCCTTTGCAAGTTGTGCTTTCTCTCTGCAGCATGGCCTCTGGCACATTTTAATAGCCCCTTGGTTCTTTAACAGTGTATATTCTTCCATACCACCTCGTATTAGTACTCGGGTGTTGCACAGTGATCGTGTATCCTAATGGCTCGTATCCCTTGGTATCAGTAGTTGAAGCTCTGTTTCTTCATAAGTAAAAATATATACAAAGCATACAAATCCTTGGATAACTTCATTCTGCACTTTCTGCATCATCAATCGGTTTTCTCCCACATTTATGATTCACCTGAACACGAAATTCTCATTTATCTTACCAGTGCTGTTTAGCATGAGTATTTGCATGAACAGGCTGTTTTACCAATCTGTCAGACCGCAGTTTAAATTTACTGATTTTTAGTAGTTAAAGAAAACCAATGTGGTGTTGCTCTGAGGTCCACCAATGTCAATTTGGAAGCATGTCCTGGAGCAGACATGACCATGAAGAAAACCCGCCACCTCAAATCCTTGGTAGAAGGTTGACAAAACCAGTTAGCCCAAGATTTTTTTCGTAAGAAACATGCTAGTATTCGATTGTAACCAGCAAATATTGTTTTGCTATCTCAAGGTCATAATAAATCAGTTTGGTAAACTAGACATTCCTAAACACTGTCTATCGTGTAAAGGCAAAGCTCTTTGGTAATGCTTTTACTTGAAATTAGTAGAATTGCGTGCCTATAGGGGCAAGCAAAATTGTAAAAGACACGAATGATCCATGTAAGCCATGCATGCATCAAAGGCTATTTTACTTTTCCTGTTAGATGTAAATGCTCACAGTACATTCACTCCATCGCAAAACTTATGAAATGTGATTTATTGCCTCATGCTTATCATATAAGAAATGACGTTAGGTATGAGTGAATGCTTGATAATAGGACCTCCCAAATGGTTGTTAATAAATTAGTTTAAAAGTAGTTGCAAATAAATGTCTGCATCCTTTCTCCAATGAAACACTTTTAATAAGGCGTTGGCAATATACGCGCTCTGTAGTCTACCTCCAGCACTTGTGCAGGACCCTTAGTAGTCACTAACGTGGTAACAAGTCAAAGCGCAGTGGGAAGACATACCAGTAGAGTACACAAAGGTTGACAGGCTACTGGCATGGCTGGAAGGTCAGGGCGCAGAGGGGAGGCACAAACTGCACAGAATGAAGTGTTCACGTAGTTGAACGTCAAGCTAAAGAGGGTAGCAAACCACTACACTGCCTTTACCCTCTTCTGGCTGTGTGTCGGGTGATCATGTGATTGTATTATCAATGAATAGTGGAATCGGTGGAAAAGGAGCAGCAATCAGAAGTACAAATGCATCATTATAGGTGAAATATCAACTTCATAATTTGATAAACGTTTAAATTCAACATTAACTATGTGGTTACCTAATCACAGCAACTTGTATTTTTTTTGGCATATTGGAATGCCTTATACTGATGCCTTTTGTATCCACTTCGGTGCGATGATAATAAAATAGATGTAATACGATGGTGGTTTATCCCTCGGTAGTGGTGAGGCTCCACTTTTGTACTTTGAATTAGCCTTCATGCTTCTCGCTAGGTGGGTTGGCCTTTGGGCCATGCCAGTACCCCAAACACCTTCTCTATGTTGAATATATATATTCTGCCCGAGTATTGTGTCTTCTTTCACCTTCAGGGAGTCTCGGGACGCTACATAAATATCGACATTGAAAATGACATAGAAGGAATGGAGGGAAAACTCCAAGAGCTACTTATGCACATAGGGCATATTTACACTTTATTTCGAAAAGGCGGCTAAAACAAGCAATGTTGGTAAATTTTTAGCAGAACACAAGTATTTAGTAAAATCAGATATTAAAATATCGCTAAGAATTAGGCATTCAAAAAGAAGTACTCTCACAATTTAGAATAAAGTATTTTTTGTACATTGGTAGAGTATGTTCTTCCATTCTACTCTACCCACTGTCAATTCAGTAAAGCCTTGGGACGCCAAACTGATGGCAAGCGCAAGTGGAATCTGACCGAATAGCCACCTACCATGAATTCCTCGTTGGAATACCAAGCCAAGTGGGCACTTTAGTGCCTGATGGTCACACTTCCGCTCTGCGACATGACCATGTTGGTAGCCCATTTAGGCCTTGATGATAGGCTAATGGCTCTTTGTGCGTTGAGAGTAGGTGTTCTTTTGCTCTGCTTCGCCTCTTTACATCTTTGAGGAGGGCTCGAGGCGATACGAAGCATCTCGCGTGTACTATAAAAAACCACGTCTCGTCGCTCGCCGAAGGTTGATGATAAATATTCTTAGATAATGCTATGACTTATTGCTACTTAGCAGGAAGAGTATGGGCCTGGGTTTGGGTTAGGCGACTTCTAACATGGTGGGTGTTTTTAGTCACCGGACTGGTTCTGTTGCAGATGCTGATTCCGTTAATAAATACTAACAGGCGCTAACTCAGAAACGCGATTTTGTGGCACAGGCAGTGCGGAAAACGATCTTGTTCTGTGATTCTTTCTACACATGCGGATGGAATATCACTCCCAATTTGAATTTAAATTTTAGCAATATCTATGACCTACTGACGATAAATCGCAATGCACAATGATCAGAAAAGTATTCTATCAATGTTTTCACCTTAAAGTTTTCAGCAAATTAAGTTCTGACTAAAATTTGCAGCATAGGACAACTAATTTTGATACGGTGAAATTGTGATGTCTTTGAATCGGCTACAGATAGTGCGGTTATTAATTCGCACGTACGCTTCTTTTCGCTCACAGAGATCTGGATTTCTAAGGAGGTTGATGTAGGTTGATTTTAATGTCTCTTCTGAGTTAAATAAAACCAATGATACAGTTTGCAATATGTTAATGCTTCATCTCTATCGTATTCACCCTGCTTTCCGCTTTTCTCACTCTAGATTTGTCAAACAATTTGGTTCCGTGGAATCTTTATTTATCGACCTAACATCCCTGATTTATCTTGCCCCATCTTTAGTTATTTACATAGGCAATGGTCTGATTTAAGTTTCAAGTTTGGTTTTCTCCGTCTTTTCAAGAAGTCCCGTCTTATTGTAGGTTTACCTCACTTTATGCGTCGCGATGCATTCACCCAAAATATTTCCCCGAGTGCTCATCGCCCAGAATCGCTTAACCAAACGCTTTAAAACCTACTCATACGATCCATTCTATATCGTGGGTCATTGTCCTTTCTTAATCTTCGGATGCTAGTGCCGCAAACCTTCCATCCCCCTTTTCCCTAGGCTTCAATTTTCTCTCAAGGGCTATGATTTTCCTACTTTGGAAAAGTATGAAATATATTTGAATAAAACCCTGAGGCGCTGGGTAAGCTCCGTGGATTCGTAAGTTCTCCAACCTTTAATTTGTGCTTGTAAAGCGTATAAGCACTTAATTCCACTTTACTTGTTTAGTTTCCCACTGCCACCAAAGAAGACTCTGTACAAAGTTTACCATCCAAACTCAACCAAAGTTAAAACTGAATTTGAGTTGAATCACTATAGTCGGATTGTTTGTGCCGAGAATGTGAAAACCGTGGATCTTCCTATTATTTTTGATCTGGTACAGCAAAATCTCCCCGAGGGAATTGAACTCGCAGTTGAAGAAGTAGGTTCTTGGATGTAGTAGATAAGTTTAGTATTCTATTTGTTCACGATTTTTTCCATACCTTTCATAGCGGTGCTCCTTATAAAGGGTATCTCAAAGACACGTGCCCCAATGTTGTTTCAGTTATTATTGGTCGTTGGATTACTGTGAACTGCTTTCCTTTTAGTTCGATCCACGCTTGGAGGAGGAGCGGTATGTAGCCAACCTGGAGGTTGAAACATTACAGGGGGAACTGACCAAGCTAACTGCAAAATAGAGCCCGATTTGGATAGTGTGTACATACTCAATCTGCGAATGATCGCCTTAAAAGTCTGGCTAAAGTTTTAATGTGCTGACGCGCAGGTGTACACATTCTTGATCATTCACAGCTAACTTTTATGCGCGCCTCACGCTTTGGATGAAAAAGGTGTTAATAAACATTTCTTGAAATTGATGTGTTTGAGACATTCTCCTACCCGGTTATTTCTGCGTGCGCACATCCTACCGATGGCTGATTCTGCGGAGGGTCCTGCCCAGATTAAATGTCAAGGCGCATTCTGTATCTCTAATGGTGTTCTACTAGTGGGAAAAACTAGGACAAAATGGACATCCTCAGGTTTTAACCGTGGGTGTACTTTGAATAATTAAACTGCTTTTGCAACGCAAGCGAGTGGTTCCACTCTCCACAACACAAAATATCAAGACGATGGGACAGCGTGATATCTGATAGGGCGTTGCTCTTTGGAGCAAATTTGACCATTATGAACTGGGGTTGATGCCAGTTGACTACTTTTTGTGATTAGAAGTCGTATTTCAAAAATACGCCTTCGAATGGCCTCTGCGTTGCTTAACAGTCGTCCACAGCAAACGCGAGTTTGAAGACCACCTTGAGCATTGGTAAGGTGCAGCCACGCATAATTAGACCCAAAGTGGCGATTTGAAATCGACAAATACGAATGCGTTAAGTTTTGTACACGAGTAGATTGGAGGGAGGGTTCCTCAACTTAGGAGCGGCTCTTCTCGGAGACAACAGTGCCCTTCGCATTGATAATAGGCTTCTTGTTCCGAGTTGTGATGTCGTAAGCAAAGGTCTTTGGGACTGCGCCCATTCCTGCCTTCTGCCAGCGTTCGGCGTCCGTCCGTTCGCGAGCCTCCAGTTCTGCAAGCAACCTCGAATTGCTCATTGCTACAACAGACGTTCGGTCACTGTAAAACTGCGACTGCTACTAGACAAAAATATACTTCACTGAATTCGAAGCTTCATCTCTCGAATTGTGGTTTCAGGTATAGGCAAGTCAACTATCTCGCTAAGTATAAACGGACAAGGCACATAGTACTAATTCTCAGTCGAATAAAAGGAAGCAAAACGCCAAACGTACACTCCTTGAAGCCCTCAACAAAGCCCTTCCTGTTTTTCAGTTGTGGTGGAGGTTCGACCTTTTCAGGGAACTTTAGGTACGTCCTTACGGATTTGGTGCGCAATGTGAGGGCCTGTAAAATTGATATCGTGTTGCTGATTGACCAGTACCAAAGAAGCGCCTAAGAAACGAGAATACGACTAGCGATGAGGGGTCGTGGCAAACATCTTTGGTGGCAGAATCGATGCGCTTACCGAAGGCATGTGCATTATCATAAAGAAACCCACTACTGGAAAGACGCGCATTGCGAGTCGAACACCTGGTGTGAGTCCTTGGGAAGACATATCGGCCCCAAACTGCAGCAAAAGACACGTTTTTGATATATTATTCATTTCTTCTACGAACGGCACTAAGAATTAAAATATCTGTATTGAATTTATCGGTTTATTTATTATAAATATAATCCATGTAAATAGAAAAACCGATGAATGAAAACAAACTAAATAACATGCTGGTTCCATAAAAGGGTGAAGCATCGAAATCTATGGCCAAGCACGCAAGGACAACGACATATTTGAACGAACCTCAAACATCAAGAAAATGGATGACATGCTGTATAGTGGGAGAATGTAGAGGGGGTCGCAGACAGTCAGATCAGCGAACCAGCCGAGCCCACCAGTCTGAAGACTCTCCACTGGCAACTGGGCCATTCCCCGAAGACCAGCGAAAACAGAGAGAAAAATTGGAACCTGACAGCAAAAGAAGATTGATACAGAACTTTATACTTGCATCAAAAATAATAAACAATTGTTTTCATACTTGGATTAGTACAAGACGCATGCTGTTTAGTGGATTGATGTCGTTATTTTTCATCAGGTGCTGAAGTTCTTGGGAAACTTTCATCACTAAGCAGGGAAGAAAATTAAAAGCAAATAAGCGAATACTTTAGCTAAGTAGGCTGAGAGGTAGTCTTACTTTCAACATAGTCCGAAGTGACTCGAGCTCTTGTCATCCGATTCTGTAAAGAATTAATTTGCGGCATGACGTTTGTGTATGCTGCCAGTTTTCGGCGTTGATCAATCACAAATGGAATCAGACAGAGACGAATGACAACGGTAGCTAAACGTACATTGCAAAAATATTAGTTAGGATGTAAGGAAACAGTGCAGGTCGCATCGGCAATTATTTCAGTAACTCTAAGAAAATATACGACAATTCAAAGAGCCATATAACCACGCATATTAACGTTTGAGTCAACTTAAGTTGATTATTAAGAACCACATACTTGTCGCTATGGCAGCCCACCAGGGAAGATCCAGGTTCACGTGCAAGAACTCAAGAACTGCTTGGTACCATCCGGATGGCCAGTAGCTATTAAGGCCAAGAGAAGCGAACGTTGGTTCGCCGAGAGCGTTCAGAGCAAGAGTGGCATCTTCGATAGGTGGTAGTTGTGGTACGTCTGGAACTCTTTCCGAGGCGCAGGCAGCCAGTAGAGGGAATGAGGCGATACATTTCCTAGCTTTGTTGCTATCACTAGAGGTCACGCCCCGCGAAAGCCTAGCTAATTTTGTGTAATGTGAGGAAAGAGAAGCAAATCGGACTAGCAAAGCATCAGACCAGTGAGTAAGTCGATAAGCTGTGCGAACATATGCCATGAATACTGACTTAATGCAATCCAGGATTAGTAAGGTTTGGCTAGGGAAGAAATGGACAAAGTAGGCATAGGGCCAATCACTGACAGAAAAGGGGGAATGCACGTTACTACCTTAAGATCCTTTCATTAAGAATATTACACAGTTTACATAAATGAGTATTGATATTAAAAAAAGGAATTGCAGGCCAAGTTATGCGTTTTGAGTACATTAAAGGGTTTAGACTAAACCATGGTAAAGTAGAGTGCAGATAATCAGGTAGCCACTAACTACCATAAAAACTAAACAAAAAGGTGCATAATTAGTCCAAAGCTAACTGCACAAAGGGAATACCTAGGAAAGCTTATGCGGAATCACCTTCTTATTCATTGGTTTGCATATACATGTTTGAAGATAGATTATTCGAAAGTGCTGTTGAAGCACCTCGAGACTTCCTTGAAGATGAAACAAGCCGTGAAACTCAGACTAAATACATATATTTGACTAATGGCAAGTGTTGGGACTAATGACATGGCCCCAATGGCAGGACATCCTGAGAGGTATAATGGCCAAACCAAAGTAGCCTTTTATTACACTGACCATTAAACAAACAATTATGTAATACGATAGTGGTTTATCCCACAGTTCTGGTGAGGCGTCACTTTTGTACTTTGAATTAGCCCCCTTGTACCTCGCTGGGCGGGCTGGCCTTTTGGGCCATGCCAATAGCCCAGACGCCTTCTCCGTGCTAAATATATGTATTCTGTACGAGTATTATGTCTTCTTCCGTCTTCAGGGAGTCTCGGGACGCTACAATTATAGCATAACACAATGGTATGTGTTTGCTTAAATCTGTGCTTTAGGCAAAAAGCGGCATTAAATGCGAGCCTAGTGAATGAGAGGTCGCCATCAGCAAATGAGGAGGACAAGCACACTAAACTCGCTTTAATTGTGACATCTTTGCAAAATCGTTTTTTAAAAAAACGAGAAAATAAGTCCCGTCTAATGCGTTTACTCATCCCATTGGTGTGAAGGTTGAGGTGGAGGAAAGACTACGCAACATATAGCAGATACAGTGTACTAAAAAAGTGCTGCAAATTTTTCTAAAGAATAGTGGTAATAATCTTTTGACATCTATTACTACAATAGTTGTGAAACTGTTATTGAAGACGACCTTATTGACCTTATTTTAAATAAATGGTATCACATGGACCATTTTTGCACCCTATACTGTATAATAATAACAATGTAAGCTTTGATTTGTACGGTTTTACATTCTAAGGTTCTTTGATTGTAGGGATGTTTATGCACTGGAGGCCAGCCCACTCGACGAGGTACGATTGATAGGACAAAGTAGCCCTGTACGGAAAATGGGCACCCAAACAAATAATTACTTTAGTGTTTTCATATTTTGCCTTTTTTCAAAGATAATAATATTAAAAACTATCAAAATGAAATTGTTGATGGCTTTTAACAATTATTTCTGATGATGTTAGTGGTGCCCTTAGGTCTTTCGACTAATTAGCCTGGTTGACAATCCGGGCCACTTTGTTGCACATACAATGCGCAAGGGTCGGGGTAACGAGCCTCTACGTCCAGAGCAGTTACAAACAATTAAGGAACATAAATATGCGTCCCGAGGCTCTTCGATTTCCGAAAGCTATCTTCAAGTGTTTTGGTGTAGTCTAGTCCCTTATATTCCCAAACGTGTCGCCCCGAACACCTTGACCCTCACAGGGCTGATAATAAATTCTGTTAGTGTTTTAATTCTGCTTTATTATAGCCCTGATCTTAAGTCGGAAGTAAGTTTTCAAATCAAAGACAAGGGTTTTAGGTGCCATCTTGGTCACTTGTGCTTGCTGCGCTATGCGTTTTCATATACCAAACCCTCGATGCATTGGATGGCAAGCATGCTCGCCAAACTAACACGGTCACTCCGCTTGGGGAGTTATTCGATCATGGTTGTGATGCGGTTGCTTCGAGTAGGGTCTGACACAAGTATTCTTATTGATTCCAGTTTTTGTACCTCTATGCTTGTGCGTCACTGTGGGAATCGGAACTCATCCTCTTGTGGTGTTTATCCAGTTCTTCACATTTATTGCGCTGTTTTATATGGCTCATTGGCAGTGTTATATAACTGGATACCTGGAGTTTGGGAGGCAAGTGCAGTCCTTTTTCGTTCATTTTTAGGCTCGATGTAACCGAGGGTCAAATTGGTGTTATGCTTGCTCTTCTCTGGACGGCGGTATTTGGTGTAGGATTTTGGAGCAATCACGTAAGTGATCAGCATTTTGGTCCATTTTGTCAATATGATCTGTATCCAAAATGTGGACGCCGCTTTGCACTTTGTAGGTTCCGATCATTGGAATGCCGCTGAAATACATACCTTTTCTAGTAATTTCAGCAGTAGCGATTATAAACATTTACCACTTCTTTTCAATAATATCGCAGGGCGGGGCTGGTAAGGCAGGCACAACCGTTGCTGTGAGTTTTTTGTATACGCCTTTGCTTTGTCATTTGTTGCTGCCACTTTGCTTGATGTGCATGTTTTAATCTGCCTCTATTCGCTGCTCCTAGATACTGGCCCCCTTTAGCTATGTTCAAATATATCTCTGAAATTTTTTCATAGGCTTTAAGCAATTGTGCACTCCAGATGATTTCATTGAAAACAGTCTCAATCAAAAAATGAGATTACATTCTAGAAGTGCATGTTGTAACGTTCCTTTCATTGGACAATATGATTGTAGTGTCTTGCTGTTGCTTGAAGTCTAATTACTCTAGATGATCGTTTAATACCGACCGCGATTGAAACTAAAGTTTCCTCTGTATAGATTACTTTTGTGCCAACTTTGTCAAAATAATATTAAACGTGCTACACTGCACTGTAGGTGGGATAAGATTTTCCGATAGGAATTTGGGGAACTGACTTATTATTTATTGTGGCGTCCGAACAGAGTGATATAATATCTTATCGACTTACATATTTTTACGCTCTTGGATGAGTGATTCGTTGTGCTGACGGTCCGCATGTTATTCAGTCAGCCACATTCTTTGTGCAAATAATCGCCGAGCTACTCTACTTGGCTTTTAGCACAATGTTGACATTGGCTAACCTACTTTTTGTGCTAAGTCGTTATTGTCATCAGAAGTACGGTGGATGTTTTTTGCACGTAGATTGCGCTTTGTACTATGACATTATGTTCCTTGTGTGGAGCAGCATTTGCGATGCGTGCTAAGAGGCTCTTCTCTCTTCTCACTATCCGCGAAGAGTATTTGTCAAATGCTATTAATTGCCCTCCGTAAGGGGCAAAGTGTGGGTTCCACCTCATTGGGTGTTTGTTTACTCGAAGCAATTGAATGCTCATTTTTCCTGTAACTAGGTTCACCTACTGATATTTACCATGCGACAGCAAATCATAGCAATAGGTATTTGTTCTTCGTGTTCGCATATTTGACAGATCAGGCATTATTGGGTGACAGTGCTTATCCTCACCATCAACTTTGGTAACTTGATCTATTACCTCTCCCGCCTTTCAACTACTCGAAAAAGTATTTCCATTACCCGTACTGGCGATGCAAGAGAGTGGCCAAGAGCTTTTGTTTTTTGTGTAATCCTCATCGTCTAAAGGGAGTAGTGATTGTTTGTCCCTTGATGGTTCTCTTATTAACAATACCTATGTTTTCTGACCCTTTTTGAATATTTCATTTTAAACGTTATACACCTTATAGGAATTTTGTTTCCTTTAGAATACTAGTGTCCTCTTTCCGGCATTTCCATTCGGTTTAGTCATGTTCTTGGCAATAATGGTTGCAGTGCGCTCGCCATTGCAGCTTTACACAAATCACCTTGTCCTCTTTCTTATCACCTTCGGGTTTGTCGCTGTGAAGGTCATCTTGAAACTTGTGGTATGTCCCATTCATTTCTTCTGATCTTGTATCTTGTACTTTGAATGATCACATGTACTCTGCCTGAAAAATTACACATTGTGAATGCATTTAAGTCCACACTCCATTCCTGGAACCAATGGGAATGTATAGCACAAAAATGGCCTATTAAGACCGCTTAAATTGAACTACAGATTACAGCTTACAAATCAAATTTTTTAACATCTACTCATCCCTCAACTTGTGGAACAAGAGACTTACCATGGGGGAATCCAATTAGCTGCATGTGTATCCGAATTTGATTCCACGGCTAGTCATATTTTGAGGCTCAATTTTGAGCAGCCTTTAAGCAGCCTACACACCGCCTGTACTCATGCACTCAACCTAAACCGCGTGAGAAAGGTCTGCCGGTGCACGTGTACTGCGCTTTTGTTATAACTTTGTACTTATCAAACGAAGTGGGGAACGGTCTCATGTTCACCTTTCCCATCAACCTCTTCTTCTGGCTACCCTTTTATCACTATATTTCGTTGAGCATCCATATTTGGTAGTCGACATTACATACTTTATTTGCTGAAGTGATTTCGTTGCTAAACCGAATCCTTAGCCCCGTGGTAAATTTGGCTGCGCCTTATGGAAATTTTTGGCTCTCAAATACTTGTTTAACGTGTTCATAAAGAACAGTTGTTGTCAGCTGGTGTTTACCAGTTTGCTGGATTGGATTAGAAAGGCTATGGTAGCAAGTTTAAATATTGCCTCATCACTTAGTTCCCGTGATAGCGGCATGCCGTCTGCCCCTAAATGAGCACCTGATTTGCTCAATTTAGTACTGCGTTTATTTGCTTTTTCTGGTGAATACAGTACACTTTTAGTGGTGTTTATTCATTGGGTGTTGAAATTTTTCGAGTCGTGGTCAGGCGGTAATGCATATGTAAACGCTGCGCCGTAAATGAACCATGTTTCCGAATTTTCATGAGATCTTTTGAGCTTGAAGTTTTTGATTAAAACGTATTACTATCGCAAACTCTGCTTCGATAAATACTGGCCGTCTTAAGCTAGTACACTCGTGTTTATTTCGCACGGTTTCAATTTCTCTCTTTCAAATTTGTATTTCTCAGAATGAATGGAAATGCGTTAAACATTCTGAAAAGCAGCCATTTAGTGGGATTATGGTAGTGCAATGCAAAACCTTTCTAGGTAAACGGTCAAGCGGTTCTGCAAAAGTCAATCGACCTAGCGAGCGTATTTCCCCAAGACCGATCCCCCAGCCTTACGGAGTGAGGATAAAGTGATTTGAGTTTTGGCAAGGTGTGATCCACGGTGAAATTTCTTCTCGCCTACAATTTTTAAAATAAATAACTACACTCAGTTTCGGCCTATGGTGTAAATGTGTGGTAGATTTTACCGGGTTCATTTGTAAGCATTTATCAACAAATCCCACTTTAGGCCTATGCAAGCATATTTGCCAAAATTAACGTATTTTACTTGTTATAGGATAATATATTTATTGGTTTGTTTCCTGTGGCATTTTACATTTCTACTCTTTATTCACGCTGGTGTCAGCCGCATCGGTTTGCATTGGCTTTCCAGCCGTTTTCTTCCTTCTGGTACGGTGTATAAGGTACCATATTTAGGCAAATACTCTTCGCAAATTGCGCATGATAATACGTTTGCAAGTAACAGATTGAGTGGGGAACTCATGTTGACTACCGCTTAGCATTTAAGCTGACCTGAAGTGGAACGTCGAGGGTGACTTCATTGTCAAGCCGTGTTAGTTCTACGGGATGTCAGGAAGGTAGGGAAATTTAGTACCATCTTGGGTAAGCTTGTGTATATTTTGCCTAGGACTTTGTGTCGTTTCAATGACAAACGTTTGACGTCTCATCTTCGCACATCATTTTCAAATGCATGCTCTGTTATATACAAGATTGAGGCTTTGAGAGAGTGGATCGAGGGTTTTGAGTCTTCTTTCAAGCAGTTACATATGGCAAACTGACAAAGACATGCGAGTGCTGATTCAAATTACACGTAGTTCCTAAAAACTTTGATCAGCAGATGTTTCAACTGCGGGATTAGATAAATATCTCGTTTTCCAATGAATATAGAGAAAACAATATCTTTTTATCTATTGCTGTTTATTTCAGGTTGACCATATGTCAAAGAGTGAAATGACCTTCATAGATTCAGTTTTGGTTGGTCCATTTGCCCTCTTCTTTAATCAGTACTTCAACTGTCCAATTCCGGAGTCCTTTGTACTCTGGTGCTGCTGTGTAAGTTTTCTCCAATTAGAGTGATTGTGGTCAATTTGAAATAATTGTTACCCTTCCTCAGTGTACGACACAACGACTACGATCCACACGAGATGACACTTTTTGTAACATTAAGAACAACGTGTAAACAGCTGGACTATTGCAAACTTTACTGCTTTTAATATTTTTTTACAATGAAATTCTGGTGAAACACCTCTTTCTTCTGGTATTATTGCATCGTGCTACAATTCTTCGCACAAACGAGTTAGAGATTAAAGTACTATGCTTCTCTGTTACTCACTATCACTTGTTAAAAGTTGAGATCAACCTCATGATAGCATGGTTTCAGTTCCTAAAAAGCAATATGGAGTAAAACGAAAGCACGTTTTTGCGTTTTAATTGTAGGAAGTGAATGCTCTCTACTCCTGTCTGTTTCGTGCTTTTTTGCAAGTAGATTCTCGCTGTTGCTGATGTGCTGCTCTACTCCTCGAATGTTTGCATACAGATAGCAGATTACCTTAACATCTACATATTTCGAGTGGACAAACCACCTCTGCTTCTAGTGCGGCAGCCGTCGCAGTTGCAGCAGCAGCAACTGGATGTGAACGTCGGCTCTTCGATGCCCGCTTCCTCTGTCCGACCCTCCCACTATCAGCGCTCTAAGTGGGGGCCGCACTAGCTCAAGAGGCCATTTGCCGCCTCGCAATTATTTGTATAGCTCTTTTCCCCATCTTTCTCTTTGTTATGCTTCCTCTTCCCTCAGGATATTGTTTTTTTTTGGTGGCACCGCAGTGTCCTCGACATCAATACAATACGTAAGCTCTTACCGGCCATGACTTTTGGTGTTACTACTTGCCTCGGTTTTGGCTGAGAGTTAAATGGAGGTGCTGCAGTTTACTCTCTTCCACCCTTGTAGAGGATTAAACAGTTACCGGCTATGGAGAGGCGGATTGTTGCAAACAAATAACGCGTTCACTGTCGGCGCCACATTTGTGATTTGCCGATTTGGCCACCTAATCCTGTCGCAAATGCGTGATTTGGTCCCGCTAGAGCATGTCATGAATAGAGCAGTTGAGCACAAAAACGAGACGGGTGATTTCAACTTCCCATTGTCCTAGAGGGAAAAAAAGAGTCTGACTTATGATGGTTGATTTCCCCTTCGGCCCGACAGCGAATGCGCCGCCTTCGCTCTGATCAGGGTCAGACGGTGCTGTACGACGAGGATGTCTCGTATGCCAATCGCTAACCGTGGGGAAATTGCCATGGGCACAGATCGATAAAATGGAAGACAGGGCTCTTAGTAGAAGCATGGAGCTAATATGTTCCATTTATTCCTCCTTACCACCTCAATTCCACTTCAGTGCTGCCCAGCCACCTGTATGGATTCTGTACAGCTGGTAGTAGAACTGCAGAAGGAGTACACCTTCTCCATAAAATTAACAATCGCATATTGACGTCATGCATAGCTCCGTAGTGAGCTTGACGAAATGGTTCAAGTCTAGTGTCGCTCTCAATGGCAATAGCATTCGTGCAGAACACGAGATTGAAGCAAATGCTAAAGCGAAAAATGTGGTTTGGTTAAACCATCTGTTGGGAATCTCCGCAGGTTCTCCTATCCATGGCTGATGTCCTTCTCCTGTAGCCTTAAGGCCTAATGCAATATGTTAGTTGATTGCTT